CCCACCCCAGTTCCTGCGGATCTGCGCCGACCTCTTCCGCCTGCTGCCCTTCCTGGTCTTCGTCGTGGTGCCCTTCATGGAGTTCCTGCTGCCCGTGGCCGTGAAGCTCTTCCCCAACATGCTGCCGTCCACATTTGAGACCCAGTCGGTCAAGGTGACACCCGCACTTCCCACGAGCAGGACCTTACTGCCACCAGCCCCCCGCTGTTAAATATGCATGGGGAGGGGCCGTGGGGAGGGCTCTGTTGTGCTCAGAATCCAGACCTTCCACTCAGCCAGAGATCGCTCATGGGTACTCAGCGCCCCCATTTAGAAGCTCACAGGCTAAAACCCACTGGGGGGGGGCAGTATAATTAGCCCCCTTCCCTGTAGAGTCTACAGGACATAGCTACCCCCTTTTATGGGTAACAGCTGGTGACAGTGTGGCTGCAAACCCTAAGACCCTTACTCTCTGCTCCTTTTGGGGACTCGCACATTCTTTTGTTGTTGAAAATGCACATAGCAGGGCAGACCACATCCCACAGCCCAAATCTGTGTCCCTGGTGACCATCTTTGAGATGTGGGGCCACGGTCACCCTCCTGACCCAGGTTGTTCCCCAGTCAGCAGACACCCACGTCAGGCCCCTGTACTTCTTACCTGACTCTTGCTGGTGCCCCTTTAGTCCAGGGGAGACCGTCCGAGAGCGCGGGCTCACAGTACGTGTCCCTACAGCAATGTGAAGCTAACTAAACTAAGCCAAGTGTCGTTTGGGTTTTAAGAAGACTTTTGCAGGGATATTTTGGTGGCAGGTTTGCTTAGAGGTGACCTCAGGGCAGGGGTCCCAGGAGTTCACGGAACTTCCACGATCCCAGAAACGTGGACGCTGCGGAGATTTGGAATTCTGGTCTGCGGTGTCCGGATTCCTCCGTGGAGTCCTGGGTCAGGGTGCTGGGTAAGCGGCAGCTGGGCACCAGCCAGGTCGTCTGGTCTCTGGCAGTGGAGGCCACTGCTGCAAAGGTTTTCGCAGACCCACTGCTCCCATCGTGC